ACGTTTCAAAGACTTTTTCGTAAACATTTCTTCTATATAGAAATCTTTTGTTTCTTAGCACTAAAACTCTAAATTTAAGAGATCATCTTTTGACTTAACACGCTTACATATGGTGGTGCATGTTTTAAATATTTATGTATATATTCCCTACTTACTATTCACGTATGCTATGTTGTATGAAATATCATCTTAACTAAATTTGACTAGGTCTTATATGCTCAAAATTCCTTTTTTTTCTTTCAAAAACATTTTGTCACCATAAAAAGTAGGGAGAATGTTAGATCAAATGACAAATTATAACCCATCAAATGAAAAATTATAACCCATCACAATACATGTTTTAATGACAATAAACATACTCAATTTTATAAGCATATAAAGACAAATGATATAAGACAAATACATTTTATCGTGTAAACGTAGCATAGAAAAAGTCTTATGAATGTCCCTTTATCATACTGAACCTACTTTGCATTATTTAATATGTTTGATATTTCAATCATTTATTTTAATTGTATACCTTAATTGATCAAAAGAATAAAAGTTTCTTAGGGATTTGAGTCAATAGTGGTTATGAAATAATACTTTGTATCTTTGTGAAAGATAGAACATGACTAAGAATTAGATGTAATCTCAATAGTTAAAATAAACTAGTACAAAATCTTGTGTTTTTTGTTTCGTTTGTACCCTTTAGTCTATGTGTTTAATTTATGCTTGCAAAAAAAATGTTGAAGTTTTTAATAGACACAATTCAATCCCCTCCATTTTTGTGTTTGTCTTAGCTCCACACATAATGTAGTATTGAAGATTAATTTGTAGTTTCAATTCTTTTAGCTTGTATTTAATAAAAAAGAAAGAAAGAAAAAGATTAAAAAAAAAAGGAAAGCGAAGTAAGAAATAAAGTTAAAGTTGAGGTTGTTTGATAGGAAGGAAGTATGAGAGAAATGGAAAGAAGATAAATGTTAGGTCAAAAAACAATCGTAAATCCTCTTGGTCTTAAGTTTTTCTATTAACAAACATAGAAGTTTCTAATTAATAGTATAAAATTTTAGAAATGACTAAGACAAATATTTCACTAAGACATAATTTTTTAGTAAGACGAATCATGATATAAGACAATAGATATACATTAAGACGATTTTTTTTTTAAATAAGACGAATCCTTAGTCATAAAAATATATATGCATTAAATCTTTTTTATTTACAATCTCTAAATAAGAAACCAACTATGTCTGATCAAATCTTAACATATTGAATTTAAAAAATGTTTCCTTGGTACCAATGTTCTACAAAAAGGAAAGAAATACATGCTTTAAGTCAGAAAGAGGACAAACAAATCTATGAAAATACAGAAAGCAATAGTTAGAAGTTGTTTCAACACTACAATGTCCTAATACACACATGATTTTACCTACTTGGTGTTAAAAGGTTATAAATAGTTTCTTTGATTAGATAAAAGGTGATAATTTGTGAAAGCATTTATTACACCATGGACACTTCTCTCCACAAAAAGTAAATCACGAAGATAGATGAAGCAAGCCATAAAAGAGAAACTCAATGATTTGCAATGACCATTTTCATTAAAGCCATATAAAAGGAAGCTTGAAACTTAGAAAGAGAGTGAGGACAATAATAAAGTGACAACAATAGAAATTGATCATTCTTTCTTCTTGTAAAAAGACTTTGTACGTAAATTTGTTGTATCACGTCTTGATAGGAAGATGAAAAAACCTTGTAAGTCTTTGTAACTTTAAGTTATTGAGTTTGAGTTTGAAGAAGGTTGTCTGTAAAAAAAATGCTTATTGTTTGAACCTGAAGAGACTTGTATGTAAAAGAATATTTGTTGTTTGAGCTTAGAGAGACTTGTTTATAAAAGAATATTTATTGTTTGAGCTTGGAGAGGCTTGACTATATAAGAATACTCAGTATTAAAGCTTGAAGAGGCTTATGTGAAAATAATATTTGGGTAGATTGCGTGAAGAAACAATTTAAAGAATATTTATGGTTGAACCAAAAGTGGCTTGGTAAAAAATATTTGTATCTTTGACAAGATAGTGAAACTTGATTTGGTTGGATGAAAGATTGGACGTAGTTTCGATAGTTGAGATAAACCAGTATAAATCCTTGAGTTTACTCTTTGCTTCGTCTAATCTCTTATATCTGTTATGAGCATTATTTCATTTGTGAAAAGTAGGAATTTTTTAGTAACACTATTCAACCACATTCTAGTATTTTTTTTTTCTCCACAATAAATTTTTAATTGATTTACATTTGATTAAATAAAAAAAATTAGTTCATATTATAAATTAAATTGCATAGGTACCTTTTAATTTTAAGAGAGTGTATTAGATTGAGATTTTAAAAGATTTTAAAAGACTTTTATTATTAAAAAAGGCCCTTAGTATTTAATTAAAATAAATAACATTTTTTTAACAGTACATCAAAATTTAGTGGTATTTAATTAATTTTTTTTAACAATATATCAAAATTTGATGATATTCAATTAATACTTTTTTCACTTAATAAAGTTCGTTAATATTCAAAAATATAAACATTTCACTGAATTATTTTGATGGATAATTTTGTGAGACTCTTTACTATAATATACATATAGTTTATTCATCCAACAATCTCATCAAAACTAATAAGATTTCACATGACTTTTTTTTCTTAATTATTTATTTATCCTTTTTTTTGTTTCTTATCTTTTTTACTTTTCTCTCTTTTTCCTCTCTTCCCTATGTCATCTTCTCTCTCTCTTTTTGTTAATCTGTCATTTCTTCTTCTTTTTTTTCTTCTTCAAATTTTACTGGTTAATGAATATTATAAATATAAACATATTATTCAAATTCAATAGTATGAATGAAAAATTATAAATGCATAAAGAGTTATATGCAGAGAAATGTTACTTAAGAGGATAGAAAATCATAGTCAATTGTTTATTAAACGATTGAAAAATTTATTAATTTTATTTTCTTTATTCAAATTTTGTTATTTATGTTATTTTTTATTAATTGTATTTTAAAAAAAAATTATATTATCTTTCGAAATTTAATAAAATCCTTTCAAATGTTATAAATTCTTAATATACAAATCCGTTAAAATCTATGTTACAAAATCTTGATTAAAAAGTTCTTAAAAGTCATTACATTCTTAAAAAGTCTATTAAAAAAATCGTAAAAGTCATTAAATTCTTACAAATACAAAGTCTTTCAAAATCTATAAGACTTTTTTGTGTTAAAAAAATCTTATAAAATCTTAATCCAATAAACTTCCCTAAAATATTTTTAATTGGTGAAGGAAGATAAATTTGTAATTTATAATAACTTTCACACAAATCCTCTAATTTTGGAGGGGACCAAAACTTACCCACACTTCGACTTACTTCTTCACTTTCTAAAAGGACAACTTTTCTTTGGCCAATCCAGAGGATGAGAGCCATTATGCAATTTAAAAAATTTGTAAGAAAGAGTTGTTATAAAGCTTGGATTTCTGAAAGAAAATCACAAGACAGTTTACTTTATTTTTCTTTAAGTTGTTAAATTATCATATTATGTTATTAAGTATTTAAGTTTCCTTGAATTTTAGGTCCTTTAACAAAGTATTGTTGGAGTTATTGAATATTTAATTTGCTACATCAAAATGAAAGAAATTCACCACCATCATCAATATTTAAGATTATTCAAATGTTTATATGTCTATAGCATTTTTAATTTAGAATATTTAACATAGTTTTAAAATATATTAACAAAATAATAATTTTGGCAATCATGTTATTGATACCTACTGTCAAAATTAATGACTAATTTTCATTAAAAATCGCAAACATATACAATGTGAATATTCTCTTTTTAGATAATCTATTTCATACTTAAGTTTAGGATTCAAATTCTAGCCTTAAATAAGAAATATATTATATTAAAAAATAAAATAACCACCTTATGTATTTTTACAGTTTCTAATGAAAATTAATCATTATTTTTAATGATGAATATTTTGTAATAATTAATATCATACATTAAAGAAAAAAATATTATACATACTTTCACTAAGTATTAACAAATCTTTAACTTCACAATAAGTATTTAAAATTTGTATCATTTAATAGCCTATATTAGATTTCTATTATTTTTAAGAAAAACAAGTACAAATTAATTTTTTCATATTCAATAAAACTAACGTTTTCCTTTTTATTAAACATCGCCCTGGTTGAAATCTGCCTTCTTTTAATTAAACATATGATTCATTGCCCTGACCAATCCACACTAGGTGCAAGTAGGGATGGCAAAACGGGCTAGTCTAGCCCGTTTTGGCCCGGCCCGTCAAAAATAGACCGGGCTGGGCCGGTCCACCAATGTAAAATGGGTTGGAGATGCTGGCCCGTCCCGCCTAAGGGTGGGCTGGCGGGCCAGCCCGCTTACAAAAATACAAAATAAAAAAAGTGGTAAAAAAAATTATTTTATGGTTAAATATTTTTTTTTTGCTTCAAATAAATAAATATAATCATATGAAATTAAAAATGCATACATATTGTACTTAATATATGTTTAACAAAAACAATTTACAAACTTAAAACAAAATCAAATAGAAATTAGTCCATTTACACCAAAATCAAAACCAAATTATAAACTTACAAATTATTTATACACTAAATTTTTTGATAGTCCACAAA